CATAAAAATATGAAAATTTTAAAGCTCAAATATGCCAACTTTGCAACGCTGTATCTCGGAAACAAGACATATACTCAAGCTAAAATTTTTACTGGAGGCTTGTCTCATCATAAGGTTTCATTTAAGCCACATACGAATGAAATCCCCGGGTTCCCGAAAAGGGGCCATTTTTAGGGAGGCTCTTTGCGGTGTTTTGAGCTTCCCGCTTCAAAAGCGATACTACGGCACAGGTGAACATTTTGTAAGAGGAGTCGTTCCATCGTCGGCAATACTCATCATGGCCGACGCCAATCCGCCAAAACACGTGTGATGGGACGAGATAATACCTGAACTGGATTAGACCAGATAACAATCGGCGTGTTTTAACGTTCATTTTTTCCACGCCCGAATTGATTGACCTTGAACTCTCCTCGAATTACGCGCGGAACTGCGCGCAAGTGTCGGCCATGATGAATATCGCCGACGATGGAGCGACTCCTCTAACAAAATGTTCACCTGTGCCGTAGTATCGTTTTTGAAGCGGGAAGCTTAAAAAAACGCAAATTTCTTCCGCAGATTGTGAAGTTATGAGTGCATTTCAGACTTTGCCGATGCGCTTATCGTGATTTTTGAGGCATTATCTATAAGTAACAACTCTTATTTTTGCTCTAGCAAAAGTTTGCAACAGGCCCATTCATGCCAAATACTGCAACAGAAGATCTTATGACGTCATTTTTGCATAGAAAGTAGATTAAAGAAGCTAGATGGCGGACCTTTTGTCGCAATCAAAAAGAACTTAATTGGCGCAGACTCTAATAGTGTACCACACATTACTAAATCAGTAAATTGTTATGAATAATTTGATTAGAAAAATGGATACCACCCGCAATATGTGGGATCACTGTTGATATTATTTATAAGAGGGGTTGTAATTTTATTAGCTCATGTGGTGTGATTGTTAATGGAAAAAGTATGAGAATTTATAAAGTTTATTTACTTATTTTTTGGCCACGCCGGCGACGGCGTGGACGTCCTGTGAAAGGTTGGCGACAAGGGTGGAGGAGGAGATCAGAAGGTGCCAATTGCCTGATGATCTCTGGGAGGATAGGGGGCAATGGCGATTGGGCGTCGCAGAGCGCGAGGCTGCGCTGTAAAAGCGGCTTTATGTATGTATTTACGTATTTTCTGACTCGAAACCACATCAATGTAGCCTCAAAAAAAAAAGAAAAACCAAGTTCCAACGAATAAATAAATACTTATTCAAATGAATAAATAAAAAAAATAGCTTAAAGCTTAAAAATAACGAGAAGAAAAATTAGAGCTCAAAAATGTTTGACTCTGATTGAAATTTTTGGAGCTTTTTGGCTTTGTTTTATGGCGAAATGGTGTGGGCCCAATATCATTTTACCATCTTGTTTAAAAATAACTAGACCATGAAATTATTTTTTCTTCGTTTTAATAATTGTCACTAATTTTTGAAGAACAACCACTCATTTTAATTTCCTCAATTTAATCTTCAAAATTTCCCAAATCTGTATAAAATCAAAAGTCTCTCTTCAAATCTTAGTCAGTGTAGCACGAACATCGATCGATCATTTTTTGTCATCCCTCGGTCGCCAGGTACAAAGGGTGGCTGCGCACCTCGGGCCCGACGTACGTGGGAACGATTCGATGATCGGGCGTCGAACTCACCGGCATCGGGAAGAGTCAAGTTGGACTTCAACAAGTAAAATTTGAAAAGGTGTACAAAATAAATAATTTATGCAAAATCGAGAGGAGGGGTAGGGGCTCTCGAGCGTAGCACTCATTCATTTCGGCGAGCGGGGCTCAGTTCCATTTGGGGTGGCCACGGTGCTCATGTTGTGTTCGTTCTCTTCCTACCGGTTATTTTCACATCCTGTTTCGTGCACTATTTCCTGAATAATCTACGCTGTTTTCGAGGTTATATTGGCCGATTTCTGAATTTCTGGACTCATTTGGAGGCGAAAATGTGTTTTCTGTAAGCGGAGGACTGCGTCTCATGCTTCTTATCAGTGAGTTTTGCCGTTGAGAAGTTTCTAACTAAGGCCGTCTCATCAAAACATCAGAGTTTTTGGTCCAACATCACGGAAGGTAAGATTTCTCACAATATTTAGAATTATAAATCTTGTGGAATATATACTCGCATGGTTTTTTGATCGCCAGAATCATAAAGAACTCGTGTAGTGCTGAGCCTATGTATTTCGTTTGAAGTGTAGTTTTCTTGTTGAAAATGGACCTTATTTCGCTTTAAACACTAGTTTGTACTTAACAAATCTAATCTTTGCAAACAAAGAGTATAAAATAGCTTCGAAGCTTAGGTCAAGGATCTGAAACGTACATTTCAGAGTAAAGCTTTAATTAGTTAAGCTAAAATAAGTAATGATTAAGGTTTATATTAATTTATCAAGTATAAACAATCAAATTCACTTTGTTGTATTTGCCCTCATGGTAGATAATATTTTATTCATTTATTTTTTAAAAAACAAGGAATTTAGAGAACCTTTGAAGTACGTGTTACGCTTTCCATGCTGTTGGTTCTTTAGTGAATACATTTCTTGAAAGTTCATAACAAAACAAAGTAATCAGCACCTTGAAAACATTGTTAGAAATAGATGACTTTTAGGTGAGAAAGGTGTCGTTTCGAATGTTCATTCAGTGCACAAATTCTAGACACATTCTCGGATTGAAATTTAATCTAATTAACCGTTAGCTCCAATCGAGATCATTACCGAAGGCCGTACCATTCCTATTCTATTACACAAGCGTCAATGTCATTACACTGATTGATAATTCAGACTATCCTCTTACGAAAAATATGATGGAGGAATAGATCTACTTTCCATAATTTAAAACAAGAGAGCGTAATGGTTCAGTAATGCCGCGTAACGCTGTGTCTCAGTTAATAAGACTGCTGTCATGTTATGGAAGATTGTGGCACTCAATACGGTAACACCTTATTGTGGGCTAAACATAACGCCAAAACCACCAGTAACAAAAAATAAACTTAAAAAATATCTTAGTGCATGATGTACTGTTTTATTCTTAGATCCTTCAAGATGGTTGTGCCGTTTGACACTTTCATGTCCGATGAACAAATTGCAGAGGACTACAGGCGATTTGACAAGTTGATAGGCGATCTGTGTGATGTGCTTTTCCATGTTCTAACATCCGGACGAGCATCCTCTCCCGGAAGACCGAACGAGTCCAACAACGGCCCTAATTTACATGGTGAGTATTTTTTCTCTGTGTTTACAATGTAACAAAGCGACGGTGAAACTACCAAACCACGTATCTCGGTTTGCGACGTCGCAGACTTCCTGTCATACTTTATTTTTTAAATGAAAAACTACTTAGCGTCTAGTCTTGAAAATTTCTGTGAATTTTCCTCTTCGTGCGGAGAAAATTCTGTGAAAATTTCAAGGAATGATATTGATTTGGTCCACTTCAAAAAAATAAAATGCGAGCGTAGATTTTTAAACACCGCAAACGAGATACGTGGTTTGGTAGTTTCACCGTCGAAAGGTTATTCCGTGGAATGTACCTACACCGAAAAAAAAGTGAAGTTGATTGAACATACCGGACAAAAAACTCACAAAATGCAAAATTACCCGCTATACGGCAGTTAGTTTTACATCCTGACATTGCTAAAGTAACTGCTATAGCAGTTAATTCAGCAGTTTGTATAAGTTCTCGCACACTTTCTTTACATACTTCACTTTTTCAATGTGTCGCACAATTGACCAGTGAAATGTCTGAACCTTAAACGCTGCATAAAGTTACTCGCCAAATCGTGATGCGACGCTGAAAGGGACAGATCCTTAGAATGGATCTGTACGTAGGAGATAAAAGTTTAATATTTTCATGGATAAAATTAGGATGCATACGTAGAATATAAGGTCAAAATTGTCAAGCGTTTTCAATAATGGACCACTAGACAAGGTACGAATTTCAGCACTCTGGTACATATTTCTTAACCAAAATTTTACGTAAAACACGATGCGCACAACCAAAATTACCGAGATCAACTCCTTACAAAGATATTTAATGATTCCTGATGCGTGAATTCAAACCACCCGTTCATTAAAACTCAATGCTCTGCGTGATTCACATCGCGCGCTAAACATTATCATGACAGTCTCTGCGATAAAAAAATCTGGCAACCTTAATCTTGACACTTTGGCTCAGCTATTGTAAATTGCTGATAGTTTGAACAACGCATGGTGGGAAATGAACATTGCTCGATTGAGAAGCTTGCTGAAACCGTTGTAGTGCGCGATTTGACTCACGTAGAACTTTGAGTTTCTTGTGAGCGGGCAATTCAAATTCCTCGTAACCAATGTGAAATAAAAAAGTTAATATCTTCGTTAGGAGTTGGTTTCAGTAATTTTCGTTGTGCAAATCGTGTTCTACGTAAAATTCTAATTAAGAAACTTGTATCAGATTTCTTAAATTCGTTCCTTGTCTAGTGGTCCATTGAAGAATGCAGGACAAGATGAGAGTAAGTCCCGTTAGGTGTTGTCAAACTTTCATGAGGTTTTTTTTTGCCTATTTAAAGAAATGGAGTCTGAATTGTTCATGGGAGTTCCAAAACATAGTTCGAGCCAGAGGGAACATTCATATTAAAGTATGCTTTCAAGACGTTTGGGTTTCAACACTATCCCAAAATTGATAACTTTGCACAACCTGGATAAGGGGCCGTCCCTAAGTTAAGTAACGCTCTAGGGGGAGATGGGGGTGGGGGAATAGGAATCTGCGAGAAAGTTACGCCATTTTGTTTTTACGTGTTTATAAGGATAGGGAACTACGTCCCACAAGCGTATCGAGAGGGGAGGGGAGAGGGGGGCAAAAATACCGAAAAAGTGCCTTACGTGATTTAGGGACGGCCTTTTCCCCTTGTATTTCTCAACTAAAAGAGTGACTAAAAAGTTACTAAACCCTGAATCATTGAGTGCATAGTTCTCTTCGTTGATATAAATCACACGGAAAGTGTTAAAAATACTTCAATTAAGCTTTGTTTCCCTGCTTAAATCGTTCAGGCACTTTTCCATTTTTCCGTGTCGGGCATTAACCTCACCGTGATTTTCCACTCGTGTCTACTTCAGGGAGGGTGTAGAATGCATGCGACAAACCTGCTCCTTTAATTAACAGCGCTGCAAACTCAATGGAGTAGAACAGAGCATATGCGGGAGAATGAACTTCCGGACCAAGTTTCGGCGAGAGCTGAGGAACTTTCAAGACTTCCTCCACGTTCCTCGCATCCCCGCACGACAAAACGAACCCAAGTCGTTTTGGCTGAGTAAGAACCGCACAATTTCATAGGAAACTTCGAGAGAATATGCGATTTTTCCTCACAAACTAATGAGTCCGTGAGGTGTCTCCGACCGAGCCAAGTTACGATGGGTGCATGCACAACTTGCAAAATGACTTTACGCGCGAGGCCTAGGTCCCTCCTTCCAGTGTTTTGCGGGAAATCGATTGATCCGTCATTTAAACCTATAGTAAAAGATCGACTCTCAGGGAAAGTCGATGATCGATTCTTTACCATAGCTTCAAATGGGAAAATATCGATGGTCGATTATTCACGCTTCGATGCTGCCTCCCTTGCGTCTACCTTGTGCGGGGTGGAGCGGTACCCGCGAAATCGCTACGTTTTGTCGAGCTTTTATTGTCTCCACGATGAGTCTGCCTTGCTTTAATCAAACTATTAAAATAGGTTTCGCCTGGTTGCCGGTAGCTTCAAAATGTATTAAAAATGCTATTGAGATTGAAAACAGACAATCTTTACTTTTAGATATTTTATTCCGTGCCCTCAAATAAATGATAGAGATCGGTAAAATTATAGTGGCTTTTCGATACTTTCAGGACAGTAAAAAATATCAATAAAATTATACCAATGCAATTTTTTATCAATACTGGTCCTTTGTTACTGGTCAGTTAATTTATGAATGTCAAGAAGGTAAAGTACATGTATAAATGAACTGATCTCTTTTTACCATTTTTTTCTGAGTGCTCACAATGTATTCGAATAAACGCTGTAAATCATATCACTGCCTAAAATCCAAAACCGTGTGTCTCAAAAACAAAAACGACGTTATAAAACATGTTTCAACAATTTCCACTTTGGAGGGGGGAAAGGGAGAATCAATAAACTTCACAGATTAAAATTTTGCCACGATTACAATAAAGTTGTGAAAACAGTCAGAGAACATTTCGAGTTAAAATTCTGTTCTATTTGCCACAATACTGAGGTGAACTACATGCCGAACTTTTTACCACTGAGACTCATGGTTTTGGAATGTATCCTACGATATGAAAAATGACCCGTAGCGTTGAAAAAAAGGCGAATGAATCGGTCAAGCCATGCAAAAGAAGCGGTCAAATCAGGTACTTCATTAGATAATGTCTTGGCAAATAGTAATCTGCTTTCTCCATTCTCCTGACTATATCTCTTTTTATGTTAAGGAGTCAAGCTCATTGCTACGATCGGATGTTATTGGCGAAAACTCCGAGTATTCCGGTAGCCTGTCATCTTATATCGTAAGGTTGAATCGACATTTTGGGATATTTTAAGCGTTAAAATAACGTCGAACAAATGCTAGATATAGTGGCGTAAAAAATTCAGCTTCAACCGTCGGAACAGAGTGGCAAAGTTTCATGAAAAATAGAATCTTGGAATTTCACGTGAAATATTTCATGAAATTTCAGAAATTTATGAAAGATATTGAAAACTACTGGTTCCTTTTCGTGTTTCGCAAAATGCGAAGATTGTGACTTTCTTCTAGTTGTGTGTGTTTGAGTGCGGGTTGCATACTCTAGCCCCTGAAAAATACGAAATATTTCACAGTCTCGTGAAATTTCATGAAATATTTCACTGAAATTTCCAATCTTTCATTTTTTCTTACGTTTTATGCCACCGTGCGTCGGAACTCCGTGATTCCTTGTGGCAACAATGCAACATTGCTTTGGTCCATGCAGCGCTAGTTGTGTTAGTCGCCGACGGCTCAACTTCGGTAAATTAGAAAACTCGACGAGCTTTGATGCCGGATTGAAAAGGAAATACTTTACATTCAAAACCTAACTTCACGGTAGAGCATTTTAAGATCGATTTGACAAGTGGCAAGATTATTAAGAGTCGCAGGAATCACAGCCGGGTGGACTTTTCGAAGCTTCCTCACGAAGTTTGATGACGATTCTTCTTGTCTCTGATAGTGAGATGTAAGAGGATAGGATGGCAATTTAATTATTTTGATAAGTTTGTTAGTGGCGCAAATGGCATCTACTGCCAACAGTGATACAATCCATTCCTCGGCGGAGATTAGTGAGCGCCTTTTCAAGACGGTACAAAATAATCGAAAGTATAGGTTTCTTATGTCACATTTCTAAACCAAAAGAAGTCAATGTTGGACTCTGCTAGACCCAAGCGACTTGTTTTCCAGTGTACAATTATTTTTCCTGCGTAGAATTTTATGAATTTTAGCCAAGCCAAGTTTTCTCTCTACAAATTAGCGGAGTAGAACTGATACCTACCCAAGTGTTGACAAAAATATCAACACGGCTCCATTCATGAGCGGCGAGGGGCATTGTACGGGGGAAAAAAGAAGGAGCGCCCAGCACCCTCTCTTCACCCTCCCTGTACGCGCGCGGGCTCAAAAAAGATCGGCGGTCATTGTGATTCAATACTCCTTAGTACCAACATGATGCCGTGATTAAGGTTTCATTTATTGATTTTCATTGGAACAGCAAATTGTGTGGGGTGGGGTGGCGTTCGGGATGGGTGGCTTAGCCCTGTCCCCCGTAGCTTGTTCAGGCCAGTTATCAATGCTATTGTTCCTCGGTGATGCACTCGTATTTTGACCGGTGCACCCTGCACCGGTGCTCAGTCGCCGTATATAGTGGTTGACTCTGCCACAACGGAACATCCTCTTTGTACCTGATAGATGGAATTGTCCAAAGTGACGTCATATTTTGATTGCTACGTTAGAGAAAAAAAAGGAGGTGTTGCATCTCAAGGACTGTTTACCCTGTGACGCAGGTCGGTACAACATGGCCAGCAAAATCCGGAATTGGAAGTATGAAAAACGGACCATGACGTCCAATTTTTTTGCTTATATCAAGTCATGATATAATTTTACGAGGAGACCAATGGAATCCTTTTTAAAATCTCAAAGTTATTATTGAACGGTGTTGAAGTTTTTAAAGTTTCCAAATGCCCGACATCTCCCATTGACCTCGATCCATTGTGCGGCGCGGCGTAGTGTGATAACGGTGCCACTGAAAATTTAAGGATATCCATTGCGCCTTCAATTTTCTACCTATGCAATACGGACAGTCCTAGTGCACGAATAGTTGTATCGCTCCGCCTGTCACGCTTATTCACTCATCACAGCCTCATTTTTGTTGCAGAGCCAGCTCTCCTTATTCTGAAACGATGTTTTTTTTCTGCTCAGTTAACTTCCATTTTATCTTTTCCTTTTTTTTCTTTAGCAAGAACCGTTACTCGCAGATCTCGAAGGATGAGTATGGATGATCGGCAGTCGGATAGAACCGGCCTGAATGAAATGTGTCCTGATTTAATTTCAAACATATACAGGCACCCAAAACGAAATTCTCAACGTGAGTAAAACAAATATTTTTATAAATGAATAATTAAAACGTTAAAATTAGAGTGTAAACATTTCTATGGACCCTTGTTTTGCCTAAAAATCGATCAGAGAAGATTTAATTTAGAACTACTTTATGTCATTCGAATGAAAAGACCGTTTATATTTTTCATATTATTAGTTATATTCCGCGCGAACTTTCGATTTGCAGGGATCTGAACTGTTGGGTGAATTATACTCCATATATAGATAATCTTTACTTTATAGAGTATAGAAACTGTGATTGGAAGAAGAAAAAAAATGAAATGTATCAATTGTTTTTCAGCACTCAATAATGCTCAAAGTTACGTTGGCCTCTGAACAGGAAACCAAAAGAGCTGGAATTTGATATCCAGCACTGGTAGTTGGTATTTATTTTCTTCCTCGTCAAACATATTTCCATATTTCTATTATTTTTATGAGCGAAATGATTTCTGTTCGGGAAAATTAAACTATTTATTTTTCTTGCCAATTCATTTTTCTATTTGCTTTTATTGTATGGATCTTTTGGCTATTTTAAGTTTTTCCTCAGAAATTGATCACCTGATCGAGACGAAATTTTTCGCAGTTAATTTTATCGTGTTTAAGAAAATCCCTCCTTTTAGAGTTGCAGCGGCAAAATTTCCATACATAATGCGGGCAAGTGATATCACAAAGAGCAAAAGTCGTCGTTTTGAATGGCATTCACGGGGACTCTTGTTTCGCTTACTTTCGTTTCCCTTTTTAATTTGAAAACTTCAAAGAGAAAGTCTCTTTAGAGGAATGAAAAAGGTGGAAAAGTAATTGATCAAGCTCATAAGCAACCCCAAAAAGCTTTCCTCCACGACCGCGCTGTCATTGCTGATCCCCGAGAGAGCACAAAGAAACCGAAAAATCATGCGGAGTCATTGCTCACTTTTTTCACTGCGTCTACTTAGAGAGGTGTCAAAACAGTCGTTGAAATTATTTTCGCACACTGCAGCTGTCGGCGGCGTGTAATCACGTTGAAAGACTTTGCCACATCATCATGCGACTTAAATGAAGTGTCTCGAGTTATTCAGCCCCCCTCGCGCGAAACATTCGCTTACTCATTTCAAGTCGCTCACTCATTTCAGCCGCGAATGAAATGAATGAACTCGGCTCAAAATGTGGGTCAGAGCTCAGTGAAGCGCATTGAATTCGCATCCATGTATCCTTTCCCATTCAACACTCGTTGTATCATTAAAGCTGGTATCTAAAATTCTTACGCAGAAGGGGTTCACTATGTTATGCTATTTGTAAGCAGAGGGCTGGGTTTGCCACTTTCAGTAAAAGCTGGAGCTCCATACGATGTAGCCATCTTAAATTTTAAATTACATAATAGTTTTATTTGTGGATGCCAAATTCGCTTTTCATAATGTGCGCTTGGTGCAGCCCCCAGTATTGGAATTTCCAAACCCCTCCTAATTTTCCCTCGATCGAGGATTTACTCCCATTTTGAAATTACACACTTCATTGATGGACTATTCTGCCGTGCTATAGGGAAAAACGCCGTATGAATCTTCAGGCGTTGCAAAATTTCCTGTGATGAAACGCGAATTTCCCAGTAAATTTTGAATATTTTCCTCCCAATTTTTCAGATAATTTAGTTCGCAATTTTACCTACAGATTCTGAAAATATAAAGGAAAAATATTCATATTTTTCCTAAAAAATACAAATTTTATCGAAGGAAATTCGGAAACTCTCGAATATTCATACGGCGTTCTTTCTTAGTACGGCAGTATTGTGTGAAGTAAGAAAAACTGCATGAAGGGCGTATCCTCTCATTGGAGGTTCGCAAAAAACACGCTGATATGATTGCTTTCGAAATGTAGATCTATTCACATGTACACCAATCTCTATAATTAATCGTATTTCTTTATCAATATTTGTGCCTTGTTTGTTTTCTACAGGAGTCTCGCTGCAAATTTCTAGGAGATGATGCTGTAAATCGGGTTAGCCAGCATTTTTCTTGGCATCTACGCTCTGAGATTGGACTTGTCTAATCGAATGTATCAAAGGCTTTGACCAGCCGTCCATTAATTATGAAGGATAAATGCATGATGCATTGCATTGGATTACCGATCGTACAAAGTCTCCTTGTTGATTAGTCGTGGAAAATTCTACTCATCAACTAATTAACTTTTCAGTAATGCGATCAAAAAGGAGAGTTAGATATTCATCTTCGAGCGCTGTCGAAGCAAATCTATCTCTCATCTCTGAAAATTGGGTTTTCCCAAGGATGACAAAAAAAAAGAAAAGAAATGCAACCCAGAATGTGCTTCAGAGATGTACATTCATATTAATTTGTTCTTTCACGAGGTAAAGAAATTATGAAGAGAGGTATTGTGGATGTTTTTTAAGTGTGTCATTTCGATTTATGTGACAGTATTTTTGCTCCTTTTTCTAAAAAAATATTTTGTCAAAGACGTCATGATAGAAAATCAGCTATGTCAACAGAACAATCACCTCATGCTCATCATAGAACTATAAGTTCAAATACTTTTTGTTTCTCATCCATGATTATGAGAGCGAACTTATGAGTCTTCTCTGCATGTTTCACCAAGTTGTGCCAGTGATAACTGGCAAAATGTTCGCTTATATCTCGACTTCATTTGTAATGTGTTCTCAAGTCTTTGATATTTTACTATTACTTAATTTGTCACGCTAAGGACATTATCATGGCTTAAAGTATCAAACAAACCCTTTCAAATGTTGTATTTCCTTTTTTATATAGTTGCGACCTCTAAGAAAGCTCAAAGCAGTTTTCATCACGTGAAGCATGTTTTACTCTTAGAAAATTATCAATCAGAGGAGTATATGTATTTTTTAGCTTAAGTTTGTAAATACAATGAGCGAAATCTCAGTTATTTTAATTTGAAAAGTTTTTTATGCAAAATAAATAGATTTATCGTAAGATTGCTTCCCATGTTTTCTCCCTAACATTCTATGTGTACTATTGTCTTATTGTTATATTTGTCCGGCACGAAGAAAAATATGTAAGGGGATTTGATTTGAGAAATAGAGTTTTGAGCCTCAATTTTGATTAATTCATTCATGTAAGGTTGCCGTTTTCACTGGAGGGACTTACAATCGACCATATTTTGCTATCTTACCCAAAAACCTATGCTACACGAAACAAAATTCATAATTTCCTCCCTTCAAACATCCACCTTTTAAGTTCGGATGGTCCAAAAGTAAATGCCGAAATTTTAAAGCTCTTTAAATAAGAGTTCCTGGCCTCTTGGTGAGATACAATTACTTAAATAAGAAGGAACTATCTCAATTGTGACTCACAACTAGTTACGAGATACGTAGGAAAACATGCATTATAAGGCTAATGTCACGATATAGAGGTAAATTCTTTTGATGTAAATACTTATAAATAGTAGTCGTGGCCCCGTAGAGTTGTAGCAGTGGGGTCACCGACACGGTGTCACCATGCACCCGGTGACAAATAGGAGAAACGAAGCGAACGCACCCTCTCGTTCGACTCCCTGGCAGATCTCTCGTCCCGCAGCCGCATGGGTGCATTGCATCTCCTTGGCGCATGAAATAAAATGCAAATCGGATGCGAAACACCAGGGAATCGGCAAAGGCCGCTGCGAGTCGCATGATTCCTTTCACCGTATTAAATCAAGTAATTACTCATTATTAATTCGTCGTGCGGAAGTTGGAAGTTGAGCTTTTAGTCGGCGGCAAAACTATTGCCTCACTGGTCCAGCAAGCGTCCCCTCGTGGAATGAAATGGGGGGTGGGGGGTGGGGGGTGGGGGGGTTGACCGCAGTAAACTACTAGATCAAGGCTTTTTCTCCGCACCGCAGAGTTTCATACCGGAGAGGCATTCTATTTGCAACGCGGTGATGTCCGATTAGATTTCCGTCCCCTCTTATATTGGAGCCTTTGATCGAGACCCGAAACAGATTGTTCGTCTCAAATTTGCTTAAATTTACTTTATGTTGACCCCTGCCTCCACCTTGCTCGATCGCTACTTGACCGCACGGGATTAATTAAAAGTCGAGCTTTGCTCTGGGCCCCGTCACCGCCGGGCCGTGCGCCGACGTTACGCGATCGGCACTCAGATTAGCGCTCTTTGTTTTCGATTAATCTATCGTCATAGCTGTGTCCCCCGTTTCTCCGCTCTTAAGTCCAAAAAGCTTCGGTCGAGTGGGTTCGGTACCTATTCCAATTGAGGGCTTTGCGTTCCCCACCATACGGCGTTTTTTCTCAGCACGAAAAGTAGTCCAAGCGACGACCACGCCGACAGGACTGAGAGTTGCTCGAGTCATTAGGGGCTGCGCCCCCCGGACCCCCCGTCACTCGCTACGCGATTGACATTCGGCGAGCAATTGGACATTTGATCACTATGCTGTATACATTTTGGAGACTCTCAAGACAATAATGATTTTGTCACAAAACCTTGTTACCGGACCGTGGGAGCGTGTCATTATTTGAACATGAATAGTAGATATGTGGCGATGAAACGATGCTGGGGATCGATCATTTCTTCAAAAACGCATTTGTCTGGGACGTTAGTCACATCGGGTGGAGGAAAGTGACAATCTGTGGATCTCCTTTCGCGATTTGACTCGCTGAAGTCGCAAAAGTTTATCTTTAGGTACTTCCTACGAAGATTAACGGTGGCGTAGGGGTCGAAAAACTGTTCAACGATACTACATTCCGAGTTCCGAATCGCTGAGCCCACTTGTGTTTTTTCCTTATGCCATCATCATTGCATATACATTTCTCTGGTGTTTTTGTTTCATTCTCTCTGATTTCATAAGTAATTATATCCTCATTTCATTTCCTTTCCCTTTCATTTTTTCCCTTTTTTGTAGCATCTGTGTTCATCTGTGTTCATTTGCAATTATTATTTTAAAATAGCTTTCCCTAGTATGCATTTGATGCTTCAAACGTAACCAATTTGTTTTAATGATATTTTCGGCTAAATCATGGGTTTTCCCAGGAATAAGGCAGTCTCTCGTCCCTCCCAGACTCTACTGTTGCCAGCGATAAGTTGCTTTTTCAGCACTTTTCCCGGTTCAGACCCATGTAAAATATTCACATTTATCGCACAATCTGGCAACCTCTCGAGTGAAATAGAAAAAGGTGGAATCCTTCGAAGTTTATATTAATGATGATGATGATGATGATGATATTATCACCTGACGATAACCGCAAAAATCATTAAAAAAAATCATACGATCTCCTGAAGATTTCTGGAACAAACTATGACAAAAAATTAAAACTTATAGAGGTAGAGGAATATGGAAGATGTATAAATGTTTGGAAGAATTTATATTTATTTACCGAAACAAGTCACAAACGACGTAGTTATAAAAGCTGAAAATCCAGGGTTCTGACTTGTTAGTATGTTACCTTGTTAGCACTTAGGGCAACATCTAGACTCGCCGCAATCAGGGCATTTACCGCTCATACGCTCGACGCAATCACATTTTTGCTAAACACACAAGTCGGAATAATTAGCAAATTAACGTGTATACAGTAGACTCTGGATTATCAGGCTTCGTATTATCCGGACTCTGGATTATCCGGATCGATTTTGCAACCATGTAACTACGTACGCATTCCGATAAGTGAGTGGATCCGCGGAGAAGCGGTCGCAAGGCATATTGGCGCCTGCAAGGCTGAAGGAATACTTCACGCATTGCACCAAACAGTGAGGTCGGCGTGGAACGCATTAGTGCCTACTAGATTGCACAAATACTTCTCGCATTACGCCAAACGCAGTGCAGTCGGTTAGTTAGCCTAAAACGCACATTAGCGGCTACAAGACTGCATGAATACTTCACACATTGCGCGCTTTAATAGTTGTATTGTAATTTATCGTTGTCGGCTACCAGTCACAATCACCATTGAGTCATTCAGTTTGGCGTTAACCTATTTTAAAATCGTGTTGGTATGTACATGATGTATACATAATAAGAATACTGTGGTGTTGGTTGGTGGTGTTTGTGTTTACTATTATTATCCGGATTTCTTTTTCATCCGGATCGGGCCCGGCACCAATTAATCCGGATAATCCAGAGTCTACTGTATGCTCAAATGAAAGACATAAATTAAAACAAACGCTTCACTTCTTTATCCTTTTCCCCCTCGATTTGGGTGATATTCTGAGATGAAATACATCTTTTCTTCTATTCTTGAAAAAGATAGCTGTGACCAGGATCAAACAGCTGTTACATGTTACCTACCTAATTTTCTTCCATGTTCTAATGGGCCTGTTGCAAACTTTTGCTAGGGTAAAAAGAAGAGTTGTTTCAATCAGTAAATTTCTCAAAAATCACGATGAGTGCATTGGCAAAATTTGAAATGCACTCTTAACTTCACAATCTGCGTAAGAATTTTTTTTTTGTTTTTTTTTTTTTAGCTTCTCGCTTCGAAAACGAAATACTATACGGCACAGGTGAACATTTCGTTAGAGGTGTCGTTCTATCCAACCACTGGGCACTAGGACAGGGTTGCAATTTTTCATGAAAAATAAAATCTTGAAATTTCGCCTGAAATATTTCATACAATTTCATAAAACTCATGTTTCGCAATATTTAAAAATTGTGGTTCTCTTCTGTTTTCGTGTGTTTTAGTGCGAGTTGCATACTCTAGCCTATGAAAAATATAAAATAATTCACAGTCTCGTGAAATGTCATGAAATATTTCACGGAAATTTCCAATCTTTCATATTTTTCATTTCACGCGTGCAACCCTGCACTGGGATACTACACATTATTCAATATGACCGACAGCCATATGTGTCATAAGATTCGCCAAAACATGAGTGTCTGGACGAGATTCAAACCACTTGTTAACAACCCAGGGTGTTTACATTCACGGTTTCTTCGCGTTGATAAAGATCCGCATTTGACCTTGTGCTCCCGAGTGCGATTTGCGCGCGGAAGCGTCAGCTATGTTGGATATTGCTCTTGCAAAAGGGTTGAATGGAACGACATTCCTCACGAAATGTTCACATGTGCCGTAGTATCAATTTTCAAGCGGGAAGCTAAAAAAACGCAAATTTCTTACGCAGATTGTGAAGTTAAGAGTGCATTTCAAACTTTGCCAACACGCTCATCGTGATTTTTGAGACATTTACTGATAGAAATGACTCTTACATTTGCTTTAGCAAAAGTTTGCAAGAGGGCCATTTTTAAATGAAAAAATTAGTCAAATTCTGATGTAAAATTTTGGGAGCCTATTCCTTTTAATATTTGAAAAATCGATGGCGAGTATTGTGGCATTAAAGTGGCTCATTATTTTACAAACAATCAAATAATGAAAAATGAGAGAATTGTAGGCGACGTGAAAGGCACTGATTTTGAGAACAGAGTCCAATCATAGGAAGCGTATGATTAATGATAACAACTGATGCTAAGTTACAGCGATAGCCAGGCAGAAAAAGAGCTTGTTAAAAGTGGAATTTTCGTGCCCTTAACTGTGCCCTAATTAGGGCACAGTTAAGGGCACGAAAGGAGAAAAAAAAAACACGGTAATTCGACGGTTACTTCGGTAATATAATGTCACACGGGATTCTACGGTAATGGAATCGTGAATTTTGGTTATATTATTGATGAGCACAGTAGCACAACCATATGCTCATAGTAGTATGTCTGTGCCCACAGTAATATTACGGTGAACACGGTTATATCACCGTGCTCATCGTTACAAGAATCAAAATCCACGGTTCTACTACCGTGGAATCCTGTGTGATATTACTACCGTTGTAACGGTAGAATAACTGTGTTTTTTTTTTTTTCTCGGTGTGCGTTAACTACATAAATATAAAATCGAAATATCCGTATACATACGTGGTTGCAGCCTGACTATACCATTATGGTGGCAGTCAACAGCATAAGCCAAAACTGAGGAGGAATAGAGTTATGTGATTTGTTGGCTTTGCTG